CTCGGGAGTTTCCCGAATCAAATAACAAAAACTAAACATTCGCATCACCGAGAATTAGTTTGAAGATTGTCGAAATTCAGAGATTACAATAATAATGTTTACGATAAAATGTACTTTTCGTCATACTGACAACGATAGGAATATTGTCGAGTTTTCTTGTGCATTCTTGACAATGTTAGGGCCCCCTCAATCGCGGGGCCCCGGTGCACAGCATCCGCCGCACCCCCCGATGGCCGGCCCTGGTTATTTCAATCAAAAATTTTCTCCAGAACAGTTAGAGAGATGACCGGCAGGACGCTATTGTTAAAAGAAAAGTACAATGTACAGGGCAAGACACTAAAGTACTAATTTGAGTTGGAAAGAATATATTTTAAATTAAATAAAAAATATGCTTAAAAATTGCAGTCCGGTATTGTGACGATGTCACAATAAATAATTGCTCGTTCATAATATTTATTATAAGTCTTTCCACCCTGTGGGCACGAAGAAGACCTTTTTTCTAGGCCATTATATGTTCGTCCAGGCCAACAATGCGACGGCCGTGTGGTGAGAAACGAGGACGGACCCAAGGTCTTAGAATATATTCTGACCTTGGGACGGACCAGCCCCGAAAAATTTCTAAGAAAAGCTTTCTGAGTGACCACGAGAAAGAGTCAAAAATTAAATAAATAAATAAGTAAATATATCAACATTAAAATGTGTTGTTTAATAAATCTAGACTTTTAAGATTAAATTATCAATTTTTTTTAAATAAATATTTTTGAGATTTCTGTAGAGTATAAAGTGTAATCTGAAAATAAAAAGAAACATGTTTTCGTATTAAAGAGTTTTTTTATTATTATTTTTAACTTAACCGAATAGATAACAACAAAACAATAATGATAAATAGAATCTTAAACGGTTGAATGTAATATTGAGTACAATATTTACTTTTTAGATAATAATCAGATATTTTTTTACTCAAAATAATGAATTTGTTTCCTTAATAGTAAGTTTATATATAAAATATAATTAGCCTACATATTATATATTCATTGAGAAATTATAAACATTCTCATGATTAATTTATTTTATTTTTGATATAAATTATCAACTTTGGAATCAGCTTTCCAATATTTATTTTATATTAAAATGTTTTAGAAGTAAACTGGAAGTGTAAACAAACGATGATTATATATGTAAACATTAAAAAATATGTCATATGAATAGTTTATTTTATTTATAAATATCGCACTGTTAAATAGGACCCAAAAAATCCATTACCTTCCCTTTTTTTATAACTTTAAGTCCAAAAGTGTGATACTATAGAAATTCTGATTAGAATGATAATTGCATGGCTTCAACATAGTAATACAATATAACGAATGCAATGTATACTATAAAACTAATGTATTTGTTGAGATTTAGAGATTTTCAATTGGTAAGTTTTCTAATACACAGACAGTCAAAAGATTTCTTGCAGAATCGTAGTGAACAGGTTTTATTGGACGCATATATAAACAAGTAAAATGGCAAAACCGTATTTGGGACAAGACTATGTCTCGGAGACGGAATCACTTTGATGCTCAAGGCAGGTCTCGTTCTCATTCTCTTATCTTCTTTGATATCGCAAACTTCGCTGGCCACGACCACGAAATCGTCCACGATGCATCTTCGATGAAATTAACTTATCTAATTTCAAAATTTCTCTCCGTTGCGTGTCGGCCCGGGCTGAATTTTTGTCGATGCGTAACGAAAAGTTCCCGTTTTTGAAAAAAAAATAATCGTGGCTATTGTGTCGTCCGAAATTATCTTTTTATTTTGCACAAACAATATACAGTTTAACCCAATTATAATGTCATCGGATGTAACGACAACCCTAATATAACGTCAAATTTTTATCGGTCTTACGATTTTACTATACTAGATAATGTTAAAAAACCCACTCGTAACGACATAAAACCGTTTTAACGTCATATTTGAAGCACTCCCAAATTTACAAAATTGATTACAAATAGAAGAAACGACGTGTTCGGTCCTGAGGTCAGAGTTCACTTCTTAGAATGACTGTGGGTGGTACTCCCCCTATCTGACTTCGGTGGGGTGTGGTGGCTGTTTTGCCTGTTTGTAGAAGAGGGTCGCCATTTTGTATTTTATTTTGACTCGATTCTCGGTCCTCTGACTACCTACTAGTCTGGATTTTTTATGCGCAAATGATTTGGACACCTAATACTCTGTGCCAAATATCAACTCTTGACATGTACTCCTTCATACCTCTATG